CAATCGTTAAATTTCAAAAAAAAATTTTTTTAAATGTATTGGGAGAATTTTCATTTTTAATATTTTATTTAAATTTAGTTTTAATGGCATTATTTTTTTAAATTGTTTATTTTTTTTATCCCGCAAAACACATCAAGCACATGTGTACATGTTGCCCAACTCCTCTCTAACAAACCTTAAGTCCACCTGTGGACGCACAGAAAGATATGCTGTTCTACAGTCCGTCATCAGTTAGAAAATAAATAAATGATAATGTTTCTAGTTTAGCTAAAGTTTAGTGTGGGGCAGCGATAAGTTCTTCAGCCACAATAGAGTAAAAGTACAGAATAGCACTAACTCAAATCACAACAATAACAACAACATGTGTACTATATTTCCGATGAATGAATTTTCAAAGAATATACTACAAAAATTCTTCTATATTATTTTTGATTTCCATTAGTTATAAAATTCTACATAAAACTCAAAAATTTCAGGATGATTTCAGTGACAAATGAGAGAATATTCTCAAAAATGACTTACTTGAATAAAAAAGATTTACTTGAATTTGTTAATCTTAAATTTTATAATGTGGGATCCACATTAAGAGCTCTAAACTCCTTGTCGTATTTTTAATAAAAAATTGAAAAATGATGCCGCATATGAAATCATTTATTCATGTAAAGACTTTTTCCACGCATTATGACTGCAATTCAGTCTGAATACGAAACGCAAGTTTTACATGTGAATAAGCAGTTTTTTAACAGAATTGAAAAATGTTTGTAAATGCAAATGCCGTGGAATTCCAAATGCGTGCAAGAAATGCAATAAGTTTGCGACTGCATATAGTCGACAATCGACAACCGACAACGAACAGTCAACAGCCAGCAAAACTGCAACAACATTCAATGTTATGACAAAAGTAAATCCCGGTACAAAGACTATCGCAAGAGCAGACGAATTTTTTGCGAGGCAACACATCGCCCGGCACAAATGTGTGGAGCGTGTTGGAAATGCGATTATCATAGTAATGCAAATGTAAGTGCAGAAAGTGCAGAAAAAATAGGAATGACTTTTTTCGAAGACATAACAACGGCAAAACTTTTAGCAAAAGTTTACGTATGACATACGATCAACAAACATCGATGGATGGATTTGTAAAAACCAACTCGAATTCCTACTTCAACAGCAGCACCCGCAACTACATAAACCAAAATGTCAGCATCTATTGAAATATATTAAAAAATATGTATTTGTGAGTATGCTCTGCCATTCCGTTTGAATGCAATGAAATGCTGGGTTTACATGTCATATGATATTGCAAAAATGGTACTAGTATCCACATCCGCATCAGCATCAGCATCACCATCAGCATCAACATCAGCTTCGGCATTCGAAGGCAGCACAAAACTGGTATCCATTATTCTGGGCAATTTTCAGTTTACAATTGGAATATTATGAATTCGGATTACAATTGTTGCGGTTGACTTGATGTCATAATAGTGTAAATTGTGTTGCCAAACACACGACCGTCTCTCCGCACCCACTGCGAGACATCTATGAAGGCTAAACATATATCGAAGCGAACTGCTGCACGGACGCATTAAGTCCCAAAAATAAAATGAAATTCAATACTAAATGAAAACATTTTATATACATTTTTTCAAATGGAAAACCTTTGAAATTCTCTAATACTCTTGGTTATTTTTTGCATTTTTTAAGATTGAAAATACGCATTCCGACAGTTATGAATTTATGTGTTGTCATCTTTTATTGAAAAAGGATAATTTGATGAAAATGAAAATTTTATCTTTGCCTCGAGGGAATTCCTTCATGTGCCAATCTCAATTTCTGCAATTGATGCTTCACCTCTAAATCAAATCAAATATTTTTTAATATTTTTAAAATTCCTGTAAAATTAATTTAAATTAATTCTTAAATTTCCACAGACGAGAATAATACCTTAGGTGAGAACGACACATCTTTTTTTTAACACATATACAATCTACTTAAATTTATAATTTATATGTGATATTAATTATTTATATCTATGTAATATTTTACTAATGAATAGCAAATTAAAAGCAAATTAATTAAACAACTGCTAAATTAATGGTTTCAGTTTCATAGTTTAAGAACTCTAGATTTGAAATTTATTAGGAAGAAATGAGAAAATTTATTTGCTGGTTAGATTTCTTCTTCTTATTTACTACTACGGTACTACAGTTCAGTACGAACCTTGGTCTTCTTCGCGATCTGCCTCCATCTGTCTCGATCTTTTGCTACTCGCTTCCAGTTTAGTACTCCAATCGTTCTTGTGTCACCATACACGTTCCCATCCTATCTTGTTCTTGTCCTGCCTCTGTGCCTGGTTGTTATAGGCTTTGCTTTATATATGCGGTTTTCTTTCCGGCCCCATTCTTACTACATAAGCATCCCATTGTAGCCTTTCCAACTTAGTGCAACTCACTATATTTTCGTTTTTTAGTAATTTTTCAATTTTATTATTTGTTCGCCTTTGAAAAGTTTCTGCATCAATTTGGATTGACCCGTAGATTTGCTGAACAATTTTTCTTTCAAAAAATTTAAAAGCTTCTTCGTCCGTCTTTGTCATTGTCTATGATAGCTACCAGTCATTCGTAATTTACTTTCTTTAGATAGTAATCTTAATTTCGTTAAGTCCAAATATGCTGGTTAGTCTATTAAAATGAATACTCTTCATGGTATCCACAACTAGATATCAGTACAATAAATTTAAATTTAATTTTTTTTTATTCTACATTGTACACAATAGTAGTATTATACTCTAATCTATAACAATATTCGTCAAAGTTGATGGTTGTCATGAAACTGCCTTTAAGCTAGGTTTTGAGATTTACTGTCACAGTTTGACGTTGAATTTTTTAAAAAATCAAATACTTGAAAGATGATTATAGGCTATAAATTTAAGGTTTTAATATGAACGACGATAATGTCATAAAAGACATACAAAAATATAGTGAGTAAGTATAGAGAACTGTTAACAACTGTTAATCGTATGTATCGTCGCGATCCAAAGTCGTTTGTAGCTTCTTAATGGGCTTAGAGTGACTTTCTTAGGTTCTACTAAGATATTTACGCAGCAGCTTTTTTCGTTTTTTTCGTTTTTGATAACCTATTATAGTTCCTGTAATTATTCCTAACTTGTTCTTAGGAACAACTGTATATACTTCTTATATCGCTTATGGGGACCCTATAAGCCATCTGAGATGTAATAAACCTTATAAATGGTTCCAGAAGTTCTTTTTGGTATTCTTATTTTAAGTAACAAGTAGGGAGATATTTCAAGATCATAAAAGAATTTTGGGCTAACAGAAAATAATGATGACTCAGTAGTTGCAAGGTTGTCTGTCAATATATTCTGGTACATAAAAAATCAAAACTTACTTAAGTTCGGTGAAGTTTGCTCACTTTCTTCGATATTCCAGCATCAGTGTTGATGTTACTTGATGAAATTGAAGTGCTGCCGGGTTGTCAGCTAAGACGTTTCTTTTTTGATTTTGGTATTTCTGTCATATGTTTTCGCTTAAAAGGCGGTAGAAGTTCTTCAATGGGTTTTGAGCATCTTTTCCATGGTCCAAAAACTCCTGACTCGGACCTAAAAACTCTGCGTCGCTTCAAAAATTGTTATCTGACTCTTTCCATTAGTTAGTAAGCCTGTTATTTTATCAGTTGAAAAAATACGAAATTAATAATCGAATTTCGAGAACGAATGCATTTTGTTTTATTCAGTGAAACTTCTTTTATTATTAAATATACATATCTTATACTTATATTTCGTTGAAGTTAGTGAACATACTAGATAAAAATAAAATCAAAAAATTGGATTTTGATATGTCACAGTGGAAGAACATTAATGTATATAATTAACTAACTGTTGAAATAAACTATTTCTGCTATAAGGTTGTCGATACTTAGATTTATATCGCCAACACGATTTAGAAGCAAGAAAAAACATTTTTTATTTCACATAATGTCTGTACTAGACTAGCAAACCGATGTCAGTGAAGACATTCATTGCTTAATTTGTGGGCAGAAGCATGGTATAAGAAGCAAATAAGAAGACCGAATCACTCATTACAAAAAAAACACTTAGAATTTCATTTTCCCCATCTTCCAGTTCGAACCGGAAGCTTTAACTAATATAATAAAGCGGTAATGACACAAGAGATCGTCTGCACTTTGACATATATTTAGCCTTACATACTCGTATGTTTCTGATGAATATCTAAAAAGTTAAAGCTGATAGATATTCGATACCCTATAGTTAAAATGAATAACATTCAATATTGGACAAGAATATCGGTGTAGTTCTTAAAAATAATCTTACAAGTTATAGGTCTGAGGATTTGTACAGTAACGAAACAGTTTTGGGAACATTAAAGCCAAAAGTGATGTTTTGACTGAATATTTTAATGATGTCAAAAAATTTTTAATTTAAAACAAAATTATTAACCAAATTTTATACGCTAATTAAAAACTTTACTACTTCAAAAGTAATTCAGTTCTAACAATATATCTGAGAATATATACTTTTCTCATAAAAGAATCTTTTATTGTTGTTGTGATTTGAGTTAGTGCTATTCTGCACTTTTACTCTTTTGTGGCTGGGAGGCTTATCCCTGCTCCACACTAAACATTAACTATACTAGAATCATTATCATTTATTTATCTTTTAATTGATGACGGACCGTAGTTAGCATATGTTCCTGTGCGTACTGAGGTGAAGTTAAGGTTTGTTAGGGCGGGGTTGGGCAACGTATCAACTTTTGTGAATAATTTTCGGTAATTTTAGGGCTCTGTCCATGATATATTTTTTCATTGAGTCGATTTTTAGATCTCTATGCATGTGTAGTTTTTTCTCATAATTTTCTAACAATTAGTAAAACCAATTAAGCTTTGAAAAAAAGAAATTTTGACTGAGAAAGAAATTGAAACTAATAATAGAAATAAAATTAATTTTTATTTCCAAATATTTTCATCACAAAATTTTCATATTTAAAAAAAAAAAAACAAATTTTTTTATTGTTATTTGGACGCTACTACATTTCCAGGATGATTTTAGATTTGAAGTATCTTTTGTTACTTTCGAGTCAAAATAATCAAAAGAAACATTTTCGTAAGCGTATAAGTGTGGCCAAGAAAAGGTTTGCTTCAAGTTGTAATTATTGCACCTTACCTTATTTAATTAATAGACAATTTCTTAAATTAGTTTCATCATCGAATATGAGTTAAAAGGAAAATGTCTTGTTCTCAAAAATATTCAAGCTGTGCCAAAAAAGTCAAAGTACAAATATCTTATTAAAAATCTGGTAGTTGCGAAACATCAACTGCCTAAACTAATGAAAGAAAAGGAAACTCAAACACCAATTACAGGTAAGAATATGAATTCTGAGATAGATTTGAGTTTGTACAAGTATAAGGATAAAATCACACAAACACCGTCAAGCTCCACTGTCAACAAGCCATATCGTATGGGTCTCTTAGAAAAGTGTTGGAAAGCAAAGCCTCCTAAAAGTGACATGAAAAGTAAATTTGGTTCAAAAAAAAAGAGTTCCAAAACGTTGGATTGCATTTTCAGGAGTGCTGACAAAACAGTGGAACTGAAAACTATTGAAACGCAAACGGATGACCAAGATTACGAGAATCATTTATTAGTTGAAAAAAATCAGTTGAAGTGTTACTTGGGTTCGATGAAAGACTTAATCTTCAATCAAAATCAGTTGATCCATAACAGTTCCACAATGTTATCAAAAATGTCAGAACTCGCTCAGCTGTGCATTACAAACCAAACGTATGTATTTATGATAACAAAATTTAATCTTTTTTTAAACATTAATGTTTTTATTGATACCCTCAGTGAGAAAGCCCCTAAGGAACATGAAACAATTTCACAGCTTCTGCTCGAAAGTGTTTGTAGAAAAAGTAAAACCAGGATGCATAAAAGTCTCACCAGAAACACTGTTCAGAGGTAGTTATTTTAGAAGTACTGTCGATCCTTTTCAAAATAAAATTAACGATTTTTTATATCGTTTTAGTAAAAAAATTTCCCAAACGATGTTTAAACTAAACACAAGCAAGAATCTATACCGTTGACTGCCATCGAAATAAATACCCGTGAGAAGCTTTTAATATTAAAAACTATTTTTTCTTAATAGCCCATTGAAATTAAAATTATAGTCCTCGAAAATTTTAGAATGAAATGACAATAAATAACAATTTAATAAATTATTCTGTTTCTGTTGACAATTATCGATTGACGGCTTGAGGTCTCACCAAAGTATCCGATATGATTATTTTCTGTTGATGACAAAAGTGTAATTGCATTATTATTATAAAGAATTAATTGTGGTTTGAACAAAACCACAATTGTTGATTGCATTTAAAAAAATATTCCTCAAATTATATATAATTTAAAGAGTTAATGAATCTCATGTAACTTATAAAGTCGGGTATCCGCTGTTTAAGCTGTCATTCAAATTCTAATCCGGGAGAATAACTTTGGTCTGCTTGAAAGAAAATGTGCGGAACTGCTATTAAATTGATTGATTTCTTTGAAGTTCCTGTTGGTCTGTTTGCTTTTACTGGTGTACGCTTTTTTACAAGATTATATGAGAAACCACCAAACAAATGGGAATCTGGAAGATTGTTTTTTACGGTTCCATTTATTTCAGTAAATTTTATTCTTTTGCTAAACTACTTATGGTTGCATGAGTTTGAAACATCTTTAGACGCAACTACGTATATGGTGTATGTTCTGTATGCAATTAGTTGTTTTGTAAGGTTATTTGCGACCTGGTTCAACCGAAGAAAAATGGAGCGTTTATGTAAAAAAATGGAAGAAAGATTTTCAAAAACTTCAGAGGATAATTCTGCTTTTGATATAAACAATCATTTAAAAAGAAATGAACGATTCAACAAGTCCATAGTAGTATGTGATTCACTGGTTTGTCTCATGTTTTGTATATTTCCCATAATTCAATCATTTTTGGAGTATTTAAGTTCAAGTACTGAGGATCGGAAATTTGTTTATTTGTTGCCATATATGATGTGGTATCCGTTCAACACACAACGACTACTTAACTACATTGTGGCATTTAGTTCACAGTGTCTAGTTACATATATGATAACGAGTTTTTATCTAGGACACGATATGTTTCTCACAACATTTGTGTATATAGTAAATATGTATTTGAGTTACATTGAATTCAAAATACACGAATTCAAGCCAACTAACACCGATGAAGATAACCACTACTTAAGTCAACTGTTAGCCTTTCACAGCGACATTTACGGGTACAGAGTTCTAATAAGTTATAAAAGTTATATATTTATGTTCTTAACTACTTCTCTTTCAACAGATACGTTAAGCAAATTGACGAAATTTTCAGCATAGCAATGTTATGGAACTATTTTGCAGCATGCTTAACCCTGTGTCTAGTCGGATACCAAGTAGCAGCTGGTACTGATTATTTACATTTGTTAAAATTTTTTGGATTTCTGGTCTCGATGTTGTGGCATGTTTATATTATTTCGGTGGTTAGCACTGAATTGATAACTCAGGTGGGTTTTAGTGTAATAAGCTCTGCTCGCAGCAAAATGAATAATTACCACTCCTTAGAGTTCTGGAATCGGCGATGCATTTTATCACCAAGAGTGGTATGACGCCAGCAACAAATACAAGCGAATGTTGCTTCTGCCCATTGCCCGCGCACAACGTCCAGCACACATAACAGCGTTCAAATTTTTCGACATATCCATGCAATCTTTTACAAATGTGAGTTTCATGCTAAGCACTTATGTCCTAAGTGATTTGATACTCTTTTTTACTGAAATTTTAGTTGCTGTCAACTACTTATCAAGTTTTTACATTACTGAGGACGAGTTTGGAAACCAGTACCTAAAATAAAGATTAAATATGCTTCAAATACTTTTAATTAAGTCCCAAAAAGTAATTTCCTAGTAGCACTAAGATATATGAAAACACCATAAGTGAAAATTTCTTCAACGAAGAAAATCACACAATTAGCAAACAATTTAAACGTAATACACTTAATCACATTTTCACAATTACTTTCGAGAGTGAAGGATAGTTGAAAAATGCTAAAAGTTAAGAACTTTAAATTCTTCATCATTACAGGTTCCATCAAAACAGCGTCTGAATTAATCAAAGAGTTGCCATATCTCACCAAAGATTCAAGAAGTTGAAATTAAAAATGTTAAAAATATCAATTTGGTTTATTTTGGTCAATCATTTAAGAGAAACTGACTATCAAAGATTTTAAAATTCACAGAACATCCTTAACAAGTCCAAAAAAGACATATATTTCATTCACAACTCTCTAGCTGCGTTTTAGCTATTGCGTTTTTAAAGTGATTTAATGTGATATGAAAAGTGATAAGATTTAAATCATGACGAAATAAATATTGTTTCGACAAGTTAAAAGTGAAGATAATGTTGCTGTGGTTTTCCGATTCCAATGCCTTTGTCTATAAAGAATTTGTTCTACAGATTTAAATCATTGGTGAATAATATTTCGCATTCAGGAAAATAACGTATTTTTTAGCTATAATGTTACATCTAATCAATTGATATTTGTGGACAATTTTAAAAATCACAACTTATATATCAACCATATTCACCTGAATATGGGTTATATATTCAACCCACAGTTATTAGTAATACAGCATTTTAGTGTTCATTGCTTCAGTTCCTTTTTTATGCCAACAGAATTTATAGCAATATACATCATTTTGTTAATATTAGTGACATTTGAAAATTTAAAAATAATTTTGCCCTGTTTACTGTTCTTGCAGATCTAATTCACACATATCAACTGAAAAAGAACCGGTCAATATGGCACGCATTATGTTTTTTAACCCGGTAATGCTCAAATTAATTTCTGTCGCAGATTTTGTTAATAAGACGTATATTAGTGTATTTTGACTTCCTGAGCAAGAATATGAGGTCAATTTTTTGATTTTTGTTGCCACTTTTTTGGAAAATGTGAATGTTTTTTTTTTTTCAACCCGATTAGTTATTTAAACTAATTTAATCACTCTGGGTACCGCCACTGGGGTTCGCAATAAACAAAATATTAGGTCCTGTAATTTCTGCTTACAAATAGGTTAGCTTACCGCAAGAGCCGCCATCAGACATAATTCTGGGAGTTACTTAGCCATATACATACTGCACCAGATGAGAATCCACTGCTGTTGATCTGGTCGATGCGCCCATACAATATGAATTATATACTCCGCTACTCAAGCAATTTCGCCAGTTTATTTATTCCATTATTTGTGTTTGGAATTTTTGGTCTTTTATAAAGACACACTTTGCTGGGTCAGAAATTTCACAAATACATTGTAACCGATAATTTTTAGTCTTTTTAGTATTTATAACTTCAGAGACTTCTTATTTGCAATAAACATCGATCTTATTTTATTCGCGACTCTTTAATTCCAAAAATAAAAAAAACTTTTCAAATTCATTTTTTTTAACATTCATAATTTCTGAGACTTTTCATTTATTTTATTCGCGATTTATCAATTCCAAAATAAATAAACTTCTTAAGGTCACTTTTTTTTTAATATTAATTTCTGTGAAGTCTTATTTAAAAAAAAAAATACCAGAAGCAAATACCAGAAAAAGAAGAACCTCTTTTCCACCAAACGTCTCCTTTTATTCCCTAGCTCTTTTCCGTAAACACTCCTGTTACTAGTTTATTACTTTCGCCTTTTCTCAACCGTTTTCCAAAATCTACCAGTTAATACCAGTTCTACACACAGAGGCCTACATAACAGATCATTTCTTTCCAGGACCACCATTTCTTTTCTCTGTAAACAATGCGGTATTGTGCCAAATTTCGGTCAAATCTTTCCACAGCACACATATATTTGTTATATTCTGTGATCACACAAGGGCGCGGTACATTTGTTTTGTCTCTGTGCTGTTTCGAATAACCGTGCACCATTGATTTGGGATCCTCATCCTCTTCTCCATTGAAATTTTGCATATGTCGATCGTTAGCCAATACAATTTCACATATAGATTTAAGTTGAACTGGGCAAACATTAGCATCATCTTCACCAGAAATATTTCCAACTATAGGTAGCTCAATGTAAATGGTACTGGGATGATTAATAAGCTGGTTTTCTTCAACTTCTGTTATCTGATCAATATAATCAAGTACTTTTTGCAAAAATACACCACTATACAATAGTATAATATTTAAAATGTTAACTGAATAATGTAATATTTATAGAAAAAATGCCATGAAAATAGAAAAAAATATACAGACAATGAAATAACTTCGTAGTTTTTTTTATAAAAACACATACCCTAGGCGACCCACGATTACCATATGGTAACGCCTGAAGTAAATCGTAAACAAATGATGAAAAAAATATTTTTGCCGAAAAATTTTGATTTAAATTTTGTAGTTTATTTCAATAAGTATCACCTAATATAGCTTTTATTTTATTTATATAACTTTTTATCGGCCGAAGAATAATTATATTTTGTAGGTACACTTACTGATGTGCCACATCGAAAACACAATTTTTTTCAATTTTTTTTTTTTGCACTTCACTTTGACTTGCGATAATTACGGTATGCCCATTCAGACTATCATAAAATTACTTTGTTGGAGTGATGCAAATTTCCCGTGTAAACGTATTAACCATGTCTTTAGGTGTTACGTCTTAATTTGCATCACCATATGGTAATCGAGGGTTATTTCGGGGTAATTGAATTGTTTTTAGTATGAATCATAAGTCGAATATGTATGTTCTTAAATACATCTAAAAGCTTATATTTGTGCCCATAACAAATTCTATTAGATAGATGGTCCTTATCATAACACTAATTGTGCTTTAATAAATATCACGGTACATCTAAGCAGTGTCACTGAATTGTAAATCATATTTGTATTGCAAAAAAAAAAAATAAATGGTATTATTAAGTTCCAGAAAGAATCACCAAAGTAATGCGCTTGGTTCAGTTTTGATTCAACATATACCCATTGTGTCTTCCAAAATAGACACAATGTTATACTGCACGAAAACTCGGCAACTTCAATACACCTACTTTAATATAACAGACAATGTATAATGTATTTAATGTTTATGTCCATGTTAGATAAATGAGGATAGATATGTACCTTCTGGCGGAGTAAAACTTTTATCTTATTCTTCTAAGCCACAGCTGTGACAATAATATTTAAAAGAAGTCTGAGTCGACATGCTAACTTATGATATAGCATTCTGTCAGTGCGGAGATTGTGTCAGATATTAATTCGTGAGACTAATTCCTTACTTAGTTTATTTTTTTTTTAAGGTTAGCGGACTATGTCACACATGTAACTTTATAAATGTACATTTTATAATAACTGATTTGCCATTTTAAAATATTCTGTATGCATTGTCAGATAAACTGATTCGAAAGGGATTTCTATTCTGTATATAAATAAATACTAAAGAATACTTATAAAATTTTTATTCGACTCAGAAAAATCCTTCTGATCCAAAAACCATTTTGAATTAAATATTGAATTAATCGATATCCATTTTAAAGATGTGGAATATTCCGATACAAGGTAAGATATTGTGAAATCACCAGAAATGAATTTAATGACCGTTTGCCTTTTATCACAAACCCATTCTATTGTTAGATATACTCGTATTGCTGCAATTTCCACCTAAAAACATTTCTTTGGGATTTCTATTAAATATAATTGTATTATAGTGGCAAAGTATTATTAGTTTATTCATCACATTTTCAGCACTAAGTGTTCTATAATACAATTTATAGTTATTTTTATTTAAAATCCGTCAATATCTTAGGATATCGTCCAAACTAAAACTTTTAGTTTTGCTGATAAGTTATTCGTTTTAAATAGGTTAGACTAAGTACCTTACTTTTTTTAAAAATGCTAAGAAAATTATTAACTGTAAATTATCCTAATACATACATACTAAAGACTTTGTAAAATAAGTAAATTAACGTTAAGTGAAATAAATTATTTAAAACCTTTTAATTTATTTATTTATGATACTTTATTTATGATTTATGAATTGTAGAAACGTCTATTGTCGCGGGCCGCATGAGGTCCGTGAACCGTGCTTTGGACAGCCCTAATGTAGATTGTAACTGATAGTAGTGATATATTCTTCAATCTATATATCCAACAAAATTTTTATACACATATAACATATGTCCCCTTCTCTTTATGATTAACTTTAAAAAAACGAAAACCTTATACTATTTATTATGTCTGAATAGAAAAACTTAAAATATAATTTCAAAACGAGTTTTAAGTGCACAACTAAAAGCATCTTTCAACTTTTCAATTCTTCAGAAAGTCATAAAATTACCGGAACTTAAGAACATTTGCAACCAAAACAGCAACACAACTAAAAGCCACTGGATGTACTTGAAAGTGCAAGAGCCTAAAACGATTAAACAACAATCAATTTTCAATTTCTTGTTGTCGGTCGAGAGCAATTCATAAATTTCATTAAACTATTCGAAATTACGTGCTTGACAGAGTTGAACGGCTTTTGCTGATGCTAATTTGTAAAGTTTATTTGCCACTTTAGACAATAGATTCCGAAAGTATTTTTATCTTATTTTCATTTGCTAACAGCGCATTGAGTGAGAAAGCGTTGTCAGCGAAGCCATGAAACCACGAATATACCTCTTCAGCCACCACAAACATTAAATTGCTCTTCAGCAAATACTCGACGTTCATGTTCTAACAGCTCAAATGAAAGTTCCAAAATATTTCTCATAGCCATCTTTCACCGCGTCTGTCCTTGTACCTATACAGAAGCGAAAACTCTGCTCTGGCGAGAACGTCTGTCAACACTTTAATACAATATTTCACGCTGAAGTATAATGATT